TGTTTGAAGATAACTTCAAATTCTTGTAACTTTATTATGTACAATATTTATTTTTCTTTATTGGTAATTTTTTCCTTTCCGACCAGTTTCACAACTGAAAATGGTCTTAAGTGTGTTTGATTCAAGTAAATCAATGGTTCTCAACCCGCTTGGCCATCAGAATCCCCTGCAATGTTTTAAAAAATTACCAGAGCCCACATTCCACAGCCAGGTCTGGGTAGATTTTGGATACTGTTCTTTTTTTTTTTTTTTTTTTTTTTTTTAAATAAAAGAATCCCTACAAGTTCTAATATATACTTATGGTTGAAAACAGCTGGGATAAATAAAAGCACCATGTAAAAAACTGAGATGAATTTCTTTTGTTCTTGATTTTCTTTAAATGAGCACTTTCTTCCTTCCTATTACAATGGTAAAGTGTAGTGCATTGCTGGTACTCAATAAATAGAAACAATCATCATTGTTGCTACTGTTGCCATGGGCAATATAATGTGGTGATGAGAATGGGCTCTGAAGACAGACCTCTTCATCTCTCTCTGCTTCAGTTTCCTCATCTGTAAAATGAGAATAATTAAAATTCCTGCTTCATAAATAGTTTCCTTCACCATAGGATTATTGTAAGGATGGACTGTCTAAATGTTGTACTTAGATACACAGTGAGTTTTCAATAGACAGTAGCTAGTATATGTTGTTTTATTCAATTAGTATGCCATTGTTTACCAAGGTCACTCTCAGTTCTCTTCTTTTATTCAATGCAAGCATGATGACAAAGCAAACATGATGACAATGGACAGAGAGAGAGGAGGTGGTGCTCTTAAACTGGAATGCTAGCATTGGAAGAATGCAGAAGAGAGGTGCTTCATTGCTTGGGGGAGCCCTGAGCTCTGCCAACTCTAGGTTAATAACAGCATTAAGAAAATTCTCTGGCAAACCTGGGTATCTTCTTTCTTTTCCAAGTTGAATCTTCTTCAGTCCAGTATTCATTTTTATAGAGGCAGCCTCACACTTGTGCAATTACTCGAGTTGTGTGTAACTGGCACATTTAGTTCAGTTCAGCTGTCCAGGATTCAGCAGATGGGAGCAAGGATGTAAAAATCTGCTGGCAGGAGCCTGGGATGATTGTGATGGACCAGCCCAGGGGGATGTCAGCAGCATACTGAGAGCAGGAGACTGGGGGCATCTTAGACTCATAGAGAGTTAGCATTAACAGGATGTTTGGCATCTGGATACACATACAGGAAACGGAATCTAGAAGAATTAGGCATATCTAAGTCATCTGACCGTTTTTGGCAGAACTCAGGCCTGGGGGATCACAAGAGTTATAACTTGTGTCCATCCTTGCATCATTTCATGCTAGGTTTTCATCTTTACCACTTTGATGATACCTCGCAACTTCTGGAAATAGGTATTGTTGAGTCCATTTTGTCATTAGAAAACTGAGGTTTAGAGGTATTATGATGTCACAGCAAGGGTCAAGTTCACAGAACTACCTGGAACACCATGAGGACTGTTTAAGGCATTGGAATGACATTTTTAGAAAACCCTATAAAATTTCTATTCACCTTGGAACAGGTTGCTCACCTAGCTGCAGATGCAGGTTGAGGTTATATCTAAGCATGATTTTAGAAAGACCCCTGAATTTAAATAAAGAAAATCTTGGGGCCAGCAGATGGTGTTGAAGTTAAGGCTCTGGACTCCCACAAGGCTGCCTGTGGTTGGTGATGTGAAATTCATGCTGGACATGTGTGCATTCACACCAAAATTTCAACAGGAGGATGGAGGAGAAGGGATTATGACATGGCCATCCCTCTTGGGGTGATTTCTCACTTTTCTTCTCACTGTCTCTTCTTCTGTGCTTCTCTCCAGCAAGTGCATGCACACTATGGCAAAACCAAAAAAAGAAAAAGAAAAAGGAAAAGGAAAAGAAAAAGAAAATCTTGGCTCAACCTTGGAACTGACTGATTGTCAGCAGGCTGAGGCCACAGGGAGGCCTGGGTTTGATTTGCAACCTGCCCTAAAAGCTGAGCATGGTAGTCCCAGCAGTTGGGGAGGCCAAGGCGGGAGAATCATGACAAAGACCCTGAGTTTAAAAACAGAACAAAAACAAATAATAATTTAAAAAAACTCTCCAAAAGGGAAAATCAGGAAATTCCACTTCAGTTCTTTTTTTCATCTCATTAGTTGAGATGTGAAAATAAATTAGTCTTTAATGCAAGGTTTGGATTTCTAATTAAATGGTAGTAATCTTGAAAGAAGCTAAAACTGAATGCGATCTAAGAAACCGTAAGTATAAAAGAACGAGCACTAGATTCTGAGTCTAGTATGTGATCTCCTTGGATTTAAATTGGCTGCCACAGGAAAAGTTGCACATTTGGAAAATTATGGAGAAAAGGCATGGACACCCTCTTAATTAGTGGAAGAATCTAAATGATAAAACATTTAGAAAATACACAGTTTTATTAGGGTAGGGCCTCTATTTTAAACCAACACATGTGATACTATTATTCAAAATAAGATGGAAGAATAAAGACTGACCCATTTTAATGGGTTTGATAATGTCTCATAAATACACAAAAATATGATGCAACTAAAATGCAGGGACCAGCAGTTAGCGTAATGGCTATGCTGCTGGACTCCCACGTAGTCGACCGCAGTTCGAGTCCTGGACCCGGTGGCTTAAAACTCACGCAGGGTGCGTGTGCGTGCGTGCCCAAGATCCCAAGAGGAGAATGGAGAAGGGATTGCGCGTGGCCATCCCTCCTGAGGGGTGATTTCTCACTTTCTATCTCTCTGTTTCTCTCTGTCTGTCTGGCGAGCGCACGTGTCCTATAGCAAAAGCCTCTCCAAAAAAAGAAAAAAGCAGTAAAATTCAGTGGTTGAATTTTTAGACTTAGGACTCAGACTTCCTGGGTTCAAATCTTGGTAGAACCACTTTAGTAGTTAAGCTACCTACTTTGTGTGAGTTTGCTTAAGCACCCTGGGCCCGAGTTTTCTTATTCTAGAAAATAGTAGCAATAATAGTATGTACCTCACAAACAGCACTGTTTTGGGATCTGGATGAGTTCATATGTTATTTTCTTCTTCATGGTATAGGATCTTCTGTCCACAAATCCTATCACGGATATTGCCTTATTGCTAGAAATACAATTTTTGAATTAAAGCAACTACTTTCCTGATTTCTGATCATTGTCTTTGTATTGCACTGCTCACGATTACCTCTTGGCAACTGTAATCTGTGCTTGCACGTGGCTGCCTTGGCTTAGACTGACTCTCATTGTTTTCCAGCTTAGTTTTGATTTTCAGAGCTTTGGCAAAAGTGCACTGGGCGACTGTTGCCAGCAAGAGTTATTATAGAAGAAAGACAGGTCCTGCTGAGTCACTCTCACAAGAAGATGGCCATGGCAGGGTCTGCTTGTCCTGGGGTTGGGTTGCATGCCTTATCAACTGGTAGGATTTCCAATCATGTCTACACCTTGAATGTTCATGGCTCTGCCATGCAGTCAGCTTTCCCCACTTCCTGGACCTCTGGCCCTCCTGGATCAGACAGTGAACTAGAGCAAGAGTAGGATTCTTTTTGTCATCTGATGCACAAAGCTGGGGGCAGGGAAGATGAAGAGAGAAAGAAGGAGAAAGACCACCACTCTCTCAGGCCAAATCCAAACAAACTTTAAAGACAAATATCTGAGGCACTTCTTTTTTTTTTTTTTCCTTTATTTTTGCTACAGGGCATATGTACTTCCTGGGAAGAGATGAAGAAAGTGAGAGAAATCAAAAAAGAATTCCCAAGGGGAAATGACCACGCTGCATCTCTTCTCCTCCATTTTCCTCTTGAGATTTTGGGCATTTATGCACATGTACCTGGCATGTTTTTCAATCCAGTGTGTTTGACACTTGAACGTGCAGTCAGCCATGTGGAATCCAGCTGCATTAACTACCATATCACTAGTTGGCTATACAGGTGCTTTTATAACAATCACCTTCTTAATGTTCCTACACTCTGGACATCCTGCTATGAACAAGGGCAGTTCTGAGCATGAGCCAATGACATGGTTTTCCCAGGGAAGCCCATGGGGTGGGGTGCATGGGGCCACTAGAGATTCAAGAGTAGCCTTGCTGCTAGCCATTTGCGTCTCAGCAGCTCACCAGCATGGCTCTGCCACAAACTGCAAGCAACCATGAACCTGAGCTTGGGCTGGAGGGGATAGAGACCCAGTGGATGGCCCACGTGGGTGTTGTAACAGGGCCTCAGTAAGAATCTCCAAGTGACGGTTGTCAAGAGGGTGTGGTGGATTGGGAAATGTGGGCAAGTCATGCTACCGAAAATGTGCCCAAGTCTCTCTAGAAGGGAGGTTTCTAATTCCACAGGCTTGAGCATGTATCTGCCTCTTTCACAAGTCCTCCAATAAGAGATGAAATCCTCAGGCAATGTGTCCTAGTACACAGTCACTATCACAGGGGTCTTAGTTACATTTCCTAGTCTTTTGCTTTCCCTTATCTTTGGGGCAGCATGAAGAGAAATCATAATGAATATTCCAAGCCTGTATTCAGATTTAGATTCTTCCATCTATTAGCTAATGGATGCTGGAGCAATTCAGGTAACAACAACAAAAAATATCTACTCATCTGTGAGATGGGGCTATGACAATATTTACCACACATGTTTTAAAAATACATCTTAGATAAATAATGCCTGTTTCCAGAATCAGTTGATTATTTTTCTCATTACAAAGGAAGAAATAAGGGGCCTGCAGGTGGTGCAATGATTACATCACTGTACTCCAACGTAGTAGACTCCAGTTCAAGTCCTGGACCTGGTGGCTTGAAACTCACACTGGGTGTGTGTGCATGTGTATGTGTGCCCAAAATCTCAAGAAGAGAATGGAAGAAAAGGGATTGCGGCATGTCCATTCCCCTGCCAGGAGTGATTTCTCCTTTTCTGTCTGTCTCTGTTTCTCCAGTGAGTGCAAGCACCCTATAGCAAAAGTCTCTCTAACAAACAAACAAAATGAAAGAAGACATAAGAGCCTACCTTGAAATTGATACAATGATGCTCAGTGTTCCTCTTATCAGGCATATGACCTCCTTGGAGGGTCCCATGATAGCCTTGGTGCTAGGCATTAGCACCTCAGTGCTTCCTCCTCACATTGTGGTGAACCTTGCTCAAGTATATGTGTGTGCGCACACACATGTGTATGTGTGTGTGTGTGTGTGTGTGTGTGTGTGTGTGAGAGAGAGCGAGAGAGAGAGAGAGAAAGGGAGAGAGAGAGAGAGACCATGATGGTTATTTTATGTGTCAAGTCGGTTGGTTCATAGTGTCTAGGAATGTACTCAAAACATTCTGGATGTTTCTGTGAAGGTGTTTTTGCATGAGTTTAACATTTTAATCATGGGGCTACGAGTAAAGTAGATTACCCTTCCTAATGTGGTGGACGTCATCCAATCAGTTGAAGACCTGAATGCAATGAAAGGCTGACATCCCCTAGCATGAAGGAGCTCTGCAGTAGACGCCTCTGGACTGCAGTGTAGGCTCTTCTTGGATCTCCGGCCTGCCGCCATAGATTGTGGACTTGCCAGGCCCCATAAACTCATGAGCCAATTCCTAAAATAAATCTCAATATAGATGCACATTTTACTGGTTCTGTTTCCCTGGAGAACTCTGACATTTACAGGGATGGAAAGGACTGGCATTCTCTACTGCCTTCTCTAGGCTGAGGGACTTCATTTGACAACCAGGCTCATAGCTTTTTTTTCACAAAGATTTTGCTTTTTGTGAAATAGCTTTTTTGTCTCATATCTACTTTTCATTTATTTGCTTATTTGGGATAAATTAAAAGTAAAAAATGGGGGACCAATAGTGTGATTATTAGACTGCTATGCTTAGGTGATTTTTCTCTTTTAAAGATTTTTGCCATAGGGCATATGCGCTCACTGAAGAGAGACAGAGACAGTGAGAGGGAAAGTGAGAAATCACCCCTTATGAAGAATGACCATGCTGCACTCCCTTCTCCTCCATTTGTCTTCTGGGATTTTGGCCACTCACATGCACCCGGAGTGATTTTCAAGCCACCAAGTTTGGGACTCAAACTGCAGTTGGATGTGGGGAGTCCAATGCCTTAACCATTACATCACCTGCCAGCCCCTGTTCCTGTGAATCTTAAGTCAGATGAAGACTGGAGACATGTACTCACTCCTCTTTTGAAGATAGAAGACAACAGAAGTCAGTTTCCACCAAGCTAGGTTAATAAGTGCCTACAAGGGAAGTATCATGATTTGGTAGTTATAGATGACAATGAGAATGATAGTTGTCGCTTAGGAGCCCTTCCCAGTTATGGGGCATGTGCAGGTACTCTAAGTACATTATGTATTTTTTTTTTTTTTAGAGATATTTTTGCTATAGGGCATGCAAGCTCACTGGAAAGACAGAGAGAGATAGCAAGACAGAAAGTGAGAAATTCCCCCCCAGGGAGGACAGCCATGCCGCAATCCTTCTCCTCCAGTCTCCTCTCTGGATTTTGGGCAGGCATGCACACATGTGCCTAGTGTGAGTTTTAAGCCACTGGGTCTGGGACCGGAATCATGGTTGACTATGTGGGAGTCCAGAGATGTAACCATTATGCCATCTGCTAGTCCTTGTACATTATATCTTTTTCTTGGTAAATAATTATTTATTTAATTTTCTTTATTATTACTATTACTATTTTTTAACTTGACCAGAGAGAGACATGAGAGAAAGAGAGAGAGAGAGAGAGAGAGAGAGAGAGAGAGAAAGCAAACCTTCAGGTTTGAGACTTGAACTGTGGTCAGCCATGTGGGAGTCCAGCACCTTAACCACCATGCCACCTGCTGATCCCATGTCTTAACTGTAATAGAAGGTGCTGTTGGTCTCACCAAAGGTACTGGGCATCCTAGCAGGCTCCCAAGTTGTAGTGCTTAATGTCTCTCTAGAAATGATCTAGTAGGTCATCAGGAAAATCATGATTTATTTTTCTTTTTAAAATTATTTATTTATTTATCCATTCATTTATTTTTAAATTTGACCAGAGAGAGACATAGAAAGAGAGAAAGGGAAAGTGAGAAAGCAAGCCACCAGTTCTAGGACTCGAACTGTGGTTGGCTATATGGGAGTGTCCAGACCCTTAACTACCATACCACCTGCTGGTCCCTCATGATGGATTTTTCTATGCAAAAATGTGTCATGACTTTCCCAATGGCCCATGTTAGAAAAGGACTCTATCTCCAGATCTATCTCCAGATAAGTTTCTCCTGTATTTTTTCCAGTTCAGTTATAAATCTATCTTCTCCATGGATTTTCCTTTTTTTTTTTTTTCCTTTGTAGAGGTTTTTGCCTTAGGTCATGTATGTTTGCTGGAAAGAGAGAGAGACAGAAGAGGGAAAGTGAAAAATCACCCCCTTGGCGGGGATGGCCATACTGCAATCCCTTTGCCTCCATTCTCCTACCAGGATCTTGGGCACACACATGTGCCCAGTGTGAGTTTCAAGCCACCGGGTCTGGGACTCGAATCATGGTTTACTATGTGGGAGTCCAGCAACGTACCGCTACGCCATTTGCTGGTCCCTCCTCCATGATTTTCAAATGGCAGAGTAAATATGTATGACACAGGTAGTCGTATTTAGAACAAATGGCAGAAGAGCCAACATAGTTAGGGAATGTGTTATTCTGGGCAATCAAATATTTTGGTTCCATAGATTCACATAACCATATATGGCTGAATAGTTAGATAAATTTAACTCAGTAAGATACATTTAACGATCTGCCTTTATGGAATATAATTGTGTTTCAATGATGAGTCATAACCTCTTTCGAATATCTTGCTGCCTTTGGGTCGTGTTTGTAGTCATCAATTCTCACTGTATTGTATCACTGCTAAATCAATAGGATGCTAAATAAGTTAGCTTTTATTGCATTACTTGCCCCAGGGGCAAGAGTCTGCATTGGTCTAAAACATAATTCATGATATATTTAGAAGTGATATAAGGTACTAGGAAAATGGAGCTGAGAAATATACTTCCTCCTTTTTCTTTTTTAAATAAAAATTTTACTTATTTCTCCCCTGATAGAGAGATAGAGACACACGGAGAGCACCCCCTAATGGGGTCCTGATCTGCAACCCGCCCTCAGCGTTAGCCAGCCCTAGATCATGGGCATATTTGTGCCCAGTGCACTCAGGGAGGTCTCCAGGCTCTCTAATTACTTTTGTCCTGGATTTGCTGCCTAGATCAAAGACCAAGGCATGGTCTGTCTCTAGAACTCACTGCCTGAGTTCAGGATGGTTCTGTCCCTTTATTTCAAAGGTTAGAATTTTTAACTAAGACACTGGAGACGTGTGGAAGAAGGGCAGGAGAGGTTTTTGGAAGGAAATCAGGGAGAAAAAATAGAAAGGTAAGACTTTGTGGGACACAGAATTGATTTACTACCTGTTGATGATGCCGTGTATAGTATTATCCACTGAATTGGTCTGAGGTGTATTTCACGTTGGGTAAATTCTCTTTACAAGACAAATGATGTATAGCGATTAAATGTTATTTATAATAATAATAATAATAATAATAATAATAAAAAAAAATAATTTTTACCTATGCAATGCTGTGTATGACCCTTGCAGTGACATCAAATATTGGTGTCCACCAAGTACTGCCCCATGGACTGACTGCCCAAACCCAGACACTGGAGAAAGGGTTTTAGAGACATACTGCCCTTGGTTAGAGACATACCACATCACATAAAACTGTGTTATCCTGAGCAAGTTACTCAAACTTTCTGAACCTTCTTTTTATCTGTCAAATTGTGATGGTAATACCTATGTCATGATGGGTAGGGGGAGAGTTGTAAAGATTCGATGAGGCAGGGTCAGCAGGTGGCATAGTGGTTAAGGCGTTGGACTCCCACATGACTGACTTTGGTTGGAGTCCTGGACCAGGCGGCTTGAAACTCACTCTGGGTGCAGGCTCTGGGTGCATGTACATGCATGCCCAAAATCCCAAGAGGAGAATGGAAGAGAATGGATTGCGATATGCTACCCACCCCCACCCCACCCCACCCCCCGAGATGATTTCTTGCTTTCTGTCTCTCCAGCAAACACACCTGCTCTATTGCAAAAATACCCCCAAAAGTTTCAATAAGGTGATTATTTATAAAACATTTAGTACATGGTTTGAATAATTCACAAATGACAGTTACTATTTGATTGTTGGAAAAGTCAAAACACATTTTTGCATAGAAAAACAGAAAAATACGTCATGAATTTTCCCAATATAATTGCCATTATCAACTCAGATTTCCCTAGTCAATAGTGATTTAGGGATTTAGACAATATTCTCTCTAACCTCAAAGTATGTTGTGAAAGGCCACAGACACCTCCACAACTCCTGCAAATTCCTGAAGCTTGGTCCAGTGGGCAATCTGTCCCCTTCCCTCAACTCCTTGTTTCCCTCCCAGGTCATCAGCTTCTGTATCTGCAAGTGCTATCTCTGTTTCGCTCGCCTGCGACGCGGCCCTGGATCTCAGCTCAGGTGAGTGGGTTTACACTGCTCACGTGCTGGTCAGGTGGAACTGCTCTCACATCTCATTACTCAAAGCTTAGTACTTGGACCTTCCTCTACCTTCTTTTTATTTATTTATTTTTTTGGAGCGGTTTTTGCTTTAGGGTGCGTATGCTCGCCAGAAAGACAGAGAGAGACAGAGAGACAGAAAGTGAGAAATCGCCCTCCAGGAGGATGGCCACACCGCAATCCCTTCTCCTCCATTCTCCTTTCGGAATCTTGGGCACACATGCACGTGCGCTAGGCATGAGTTCAAGCCACCAGGTTTAGGACTTGAACCGTGACCAACTATATGGGAGTCCAGTGACATAACCGTTATGCCAACTGTTGGTCTCTCCTCTACCTTTTAATTCAGGAGTCTTCACTGAAATTTTCTGTAAGAAGGGCAGACGCAGAATGTGAAGCAAGAGGACTCAGCACATGGTGCTGAACGGTCTCATCTCAGCAGCCTTCCAGTTAGAATGAGCTCATTACTGTCCTTGAGGCAAATATCTAAACTGTTTTATGAAAACCACCACTGACTCACGCTGACCCAGACCCTCTGCTCAAAAATAAGAATTGGAAAGTAAGAAAAACCAGGATACGTATGTGCGTATGACTTGAATTTCCTAATTTTAATGCTTTTTATTTTATTATTTTAATTTATTTTATACATTCAATTACTATACATCGCAACAGCTTGTGAAGTGAATTTACCCAACATGAATACACTTCACACCAGTCCAGCTGAAGAGATCATACACGTCATCATCAACAGACAGTCCTCCATTTCTATGTCCCTTAAATGTCTTGCCTCTCTATTTTCTCCTTGATTTCTTTCCTCTAACTCTCTCTTATCTCCCACCTTCTTTCCACATTGTCCTTAGTATCCATAACAATTTTCTATGCTTCTATATATTTTTATTTTATTCATTTAAAAATATTTTATTTAGCTTTATTTATTCACATATATATTTTAATTTGATCAGAGGGGGACAGAATGAGAGAGAGACGGAAAGTGAGAAAGCAAACTGCCAGATCAGGACTCGAACCACAGTAAGCCATGTGGGAGTCCAGCACTCTTAATCACCATGCCACCTGCTGGCCCCTATGCTTCTATATTTTAATAGAAAATTCAAAACAAATAAAAGCAGAGAGAATAATGTAATGAACTAACGAGCCCCCATGTACGACTGTCCCCCAGCTTTCTAAATGACCAGCAAATGCCTAATCTTGTCTCATCTGTCTGTGGCTCCCTGGTACTGCCCACTCAGCTCTCATAGCCCACATAGACTTTTTTTTTTTTTTTTAATTTGCCAGAGGGTGCTTGCACTTGCCAGAAAGGGGGGGAGGGGAAGAGAGAGAAGGAGCAAGAGTGAGGGAGAAAGGAGAGAGAGAGAAAGAGAGAGAGAGAGAGAGAGAGAGAGAGAGAGAGAACACCCCGGGGAATGGCCGTGCTACAATCCCTTCTCCATTCTCTTCTCAGGATTTTGGGCACACATACATCCAGCATGTCTTCCCACTGGGTCTGAGACTCAGACTGTGCAGTCAGCCATGTGGTGTCTAGCCTCCTTAACCACCACGTCAATGGGTTGGCTCGAATGGATTATTTTGATAAAAATAAGACAAAGACAAAAATCAAAGACAGCAAACCATTTCATCCATATTATGTCCATATGGATATGTAAATGATAAGAACTCTTTATAAAAGTGGAAACCACATAGCTATTATCACATCTAAAAAATGGACATTTGAAATTTCCCTAAATGTATCATTGCTCTTTTAAAACATTTTTTGTTAAGACTTGGGTTGTTTCAGTCAGGGTCCAGACATTCTCTAAGGTCTCTTTCCATGTATAGGTTTCTTCTCCCCCATCCTTTTTTTTCTTTTCAGCTTATATACGGAAGGAACAGTATCGTTTGTCCTGTAATTTCTCACATGTTTTATTTTGCTGACTATGACCCTGAGGTACCATTTCATTTGTATCTATTTCTCTGAACAGCATTTCTTGTAAATCCTAGACTCTAAAATCAGAGGTTTAATCTGATTCAAGTCCACTTTTTCACAGGGACTCCTTTATGAATATTGGGTGGTTGGGAAAGTTGTTACACATTTTTGCATAGAAAAACACGTCATGACTTTCCAGACAAACCAATGGTATTGCATCCTTCTCTGAAAAGGCACTGTCTGTAATGTCGTAGCCATTCACAAGATTGTCATCTTTCCTTAGATGCAAGATTTCTGTAGAGATTGCAAAAATAGTAATATTATATCATTTTTAAATTTATTTGCTGGAAGGATTCCATAAAAAGAAACTTAAATACTATTGGTTAGGTTGTTGAGAAGGTCATGACTTTCCCGTCAACCCAATAGTTAGGGGCCAGAGGGTGGTGAAGCAGTGGGAAGGTTATGTGGTTGCACCCAGAGAACTCCCTGAGCGTGCTCATGATCTGGGACTGACTGAGGCTGGGGGTGAATTGTGTGCTGGAACCCTATTGGGGGTGCTGTCCTTCCGTCTCAGTCAATGTGTCTTGTTCACAGAAGGAGGAAACACACTAAAAATAAATACCCTGAGATACCATTTATATAGCAAGGACAGGTGAAATCCTTGATTTTTGCCCTTATTTATATGTTTTCTGAATAATAAATTGGCTCCTTGGCATTCTCCTAAGGAGATCAATGAGTGTGTCACTGAGCATACTTATGACCTCATAGGTATGGACATATTTGATGTGCTTACTTTCATCAAAGTAATTTTTCTTACTGGTTCTCAAATTTTTCCATCTCTTGTCAGTGAGTGCCTCTTCTTGTTGACTTCTGAATGCTTTGACACAGCCCAGGTTTTGGTAACTGCCTCACTGTCTGGTGTAATGAATGTTCTAGGCACGTCTTGTAAATTTCCTGCCCAGACCTAGAGTCAGCAATTTCTCTAAGGAGGCTGGGTTCTCTGAAATGCTGTTTTCCAATGACTTTTTTTTTTTTTTTTTGGAAATCACAAGCTGACTATTGCTTAAGAGTTGGTGATTGTTTCTAGGCTTTTTTCAGTGGGCAGAGTTATAAACAAGATTCTAGAGCAAATGCCTCAAGTTCATACTAATATTTTGAATTTGAGTTTAGTGTTGCAGGGTTTTTTATTTACCTTTTTTTGATTTTGTGTTTGTATACTTCCTCTCTTCCACCTAAAATGTTACTCCAAACAATATTAACATAATTACTTATTGGCTTTACTGGACATGTTTCTGAATAACAGTGTTGATATCATTGCTAATAGTATTTCTGAAAACAGCTCAAGATTTTAAAAAGTTATTTGTTGGGGGCCAGCAGGTGGTGCAGTGGTTATGGTGCTGAACTCCCACACGGTCACCCATGGTTTGAGTCCCATACCAGGCAGCTTGCTTTCTCACTTTTCCTTTGTTTTGCTCTGTGTCTCTCTCTGATCAAATAAATAATAATAATAATAATAATAACAAATAAAATAAATGGTTCTTTTTTAAAAAAAGTTATTTGTTGTCCTTAGGATCTATCTCACTAAGATCTATCATCATGAGGGAAGTACAGTCAAATAACTTTTTAAATTACTTGGATTAGTTCCTCTCGGTGAGTATATTGCCAACACAGTACAAAGTGAACTTCATTTGTTTTATTTTACTTTAAACTTTGAGGAATTACTTTCTTTTTCATTTTGTCTTAATGTTGGCTTATATTTATGTAAAGATTTATATGGTTCCAATGTCAAATCTATCCCAAAACTTATATTCAGAGAAGTTCTAGCTTCTATTCTTGTTCTCTTAATTTGATTCTTCTTTTCCCCAATGGTAACTAAACAAAGTAGATTATCCTTCTGTTTCCCAAAGTATAAGCAAATGCATACCTACCTGTGTTCAGATATGTGCAAAATTTAATAAACACACATGTAAAATATACATGTAATATACATACATCATTATCTTCCTCTTCTTTGATACTTAGATAAATGGTAGCAGGCTATGTACATCTTTTTCTACCATGCTTTTCTCACTTAACAGTATATCCTAGAGATTGCTCCATAATGGTAGAAATTGTTCTCATTCCTTTTTTCCTATTCCTTTTATTATTTTTTTTATTGCCTGATGGGACAATAATATGCGTGTGTGCATGTATGTGTGTGTGTGTGTGTGTGAGAGAGAGAGAGAGAGAGAGAGAGAGAAAACCCCTTCCAATAGGGCATGGTCACTCCACAATCCTTTTTTCTCCATTTCCCTCTCCTGTTAGGATTTTGGGCATGCATACATATGTACCTAGTATATTTTTCAAGTTGTGGGGGCTGGGATTCAAACCGCGGTAGGCCCTGGGCATGGGATCTGGCTGCCCATGCACAGCCTTTAACCACTGGGCTATAGGGCTGGCAGCCTTATTCCATCAACAGCTGCAGACTATTCATCAAGTGAATGTATCCCATTGTATTCAACTAGACCTCTACTGGACATTTTGGTTGTTTCCAGGTATTTTGGTAATAACTAGTGCTGTAATGAATAAACACATATGCACATCTTTGGATGATTTTTCCAGTGTGTCTGTGGGATATAATTCTAGAAGTGATATTTCTAAGACAAATGCAATGTTGCTAATATTGCCAAATTCCTATCTATGGGGGTGCATCATTTTGCACTCCTGCTAGCATGGTATGAGTAACTGTTTCTCTATACCTTCTCTAACCCGGCATGTAGTTTGGGTTTTTGTTAATCTGATTGATAAAAAATGTATAATTCTAAATATACATTTTTCTTACTTTTAGTGAGGTACAGCATTTTCTCCTCATATATTTAAGTGTCATCTGAATCTCTTTTCTACAACTGTATTTTTTTTTTTCCATTTGTCTACTGTTGGGTCATTGGAAAAGTCATGATGCATTTTTGCACAGGAAAACACATCATTCATGACTTTTTAAACAACCCAATACTTTTTGGTGTTTTAACTTTATGATCTTAGAAACTCTTTTATATTAAATTTGTTCTATTTTTTTCCTAATTTGTTGTTTATCTTTACTCTTGGTGTTTATTTGCATGCAAAATTAAACTATTTTAATGCTATTCAGTTTATCAGTCTTTTATTTTTCAATTACAATTTGGATTTTGAATTATAATTGCAGAAGGTTTTTTGTTCCCTGGTTAAAGAGGAATTCATGTGTTCTCCTAATACTTGTGTACCTCTGCCCCTTTTTTGGTGTGCAATATGAAGAATGGATCTTTTCCCTTATTTATTCAAATTTTGGAGGCAAACTGGGTAGCAGCAGCCAGGTGAAGACTCAGCTGTTTGTTTAGCGCCAGGAAGGGAGTTCTCCTGAGTTACCGATAGAAGGAGACAATCTAATCTCCCCAACATATGAACTTCTGTGGCTAACAGTCTGAGCAAAAGTTGATCAAAACTGTTATCCATAACAGGTGGGTAGAAGTTTCTTGGCCACTTTAGAATTGAGCACAATGAACCTAAAAAAAATCTCCTATTCTGAAGTGGAAGAGTCTCTGGACTTTGGACACCAGTGAGGCAGAGGACAAAGCCGACCTTTGGTTTTATGGTTGGAAAGCGTGGCCTGTATTCCAGATGAAGGAAAGGTCATTTTACCTCTCCAGAATTGTCCAGAGAGCTGCTCCAGACAAGAGTACCATTGTTTTCCCCATAAGGAGTCAATTTGGGTGCTCTGGTGGGAGGTGGTATGGTCCAGGGAAACAAGATTGGGCATGAGCTAATAATTGCTAAAGCTGGGTGATGGTACAGGAGGTTTATTATATTGTGGACAGAAGTCTGACTGTTTTTTCCTATTTTTCCAAAGTCCTTTCAAGAGAGTCTAGGGGGACCAGCAGGTAGCATGGTGGTTCAGGTACTGGACACTCCTACATGGCCGACCATGGTTCAAGTCCTGCACCTGGTGGCTTGCTTTCTCACTTTCCTCTCTCTCTCTCTCTGTGACTTTCCCTGGTCAAATTAAAATGAATGAATGAATGAATGAATAAATAAATAAATCTTTTTTTTTTTTTAAGAGAGAGTCTAGGAAGAGTCACGCCCACAAATACTAACAGACCATTTCCCCCCACCCCCACCCCCATTTAATAGAGTCCTTCCTAAATCCTGTCCCTGGCATAGTATCTTTGAGATGTCTATTCAACTGATTACAGTATATTATTTTGCTAACCTCTTCCCAAGGCACAGAACTTTCCTTTCCTTGAGATGTAGATTAAGCATTTCTTTGTAAATCTCTTCCCAGGACACAGATCTTCCCTTCCAATCACCAGCCTAGGAATTGTGGAATCCACCTATAACCTACAAGACCCCAGCCTCCACATATTCTGCCTTTTTGGGTCAGACCAATGGAAAATCTCTTCACTAAATTTTGTCTGTCAATCTTGAAAACAAAAGTGATCATCCTGAGAAAGGCATGTATGTCTCTTTTCTGGGCCTAGGTCACTCATACTTGGCTTGGAAATAAACGACGTTAATTATTAATTTTTACAGTTGGTTATTTTTCCATCGACAACATTATTCTCACTATTTTTGTTTGTTTTAAATTTTTTATTATAGATTGCTAAGACGAGATTATTCAAATCTCTCTCTCTCTCTCTCTCTCTCACACACACACACACACACACACGCGTGCAGAGTCTGACTGAGGCATTTGATATCTGAATAGTTATACTCCTCTGGGCCTTGTACGTTATCCTTGAATCAAATTAATCAGCAGG